GAGGCGTGACATTTCCGAGAACCGTGCTGAGCAACTTACCAATTACGGCAGAGCCGACAGGCAGACCAATCAGTTCAGACTTGGCCCACATGGTGACTCTGAACGTGGGCACTTCAAAGCCTTAGAGAGAGAGTCAGAAGCGAGCCGGTGCATGGAGCGGCAGTACATGAAAACAGACACTTTTTTTTAACTTTAGCTATTGTGAACATACTTTAGTAGGTACATAGATTAAATATATGAACCCCAAAAAGGGCATAATATGGGCTCTTTAAGAGCTGGTCTGCGACAGTGCCGTAAAAGCTTCACCGCCATTACGCCTTTGTATGTTTACATTGCATTGTCAATGTTGGAACGCAATGTGAACTAACAAACAGTGTGGCCAGAAGCAGGAGACAAACAGCAGGAGACAAACAGCAGGAGCTTCATGTACACACTCACACTGAGGCATGCACACACAGAGCGTTGTGTTACGGCCTCTGTTACGGCCTCTGTTACGGCCTCTGTTACTACCTCTGATGGCAGATCAGGGGTGGAAAAACTTGCCTCACCATTCCCCCTCAATGCGTTAACACATTGCAAATGAGGGGTAACAGGGGTGTAAATATCCTGTCATGAACTGGCAGTGTATAAGGGGCTATGGTGTGTGCAGTGGTTTGTCATCTGTGGTCATTGAGGCCACTAGATGAGTTGGTATTACTACCTATCAGGCTGCAAGTGAAGCATGTCCTTCCTTCTTAACTATCACTGGTTCTGCTGAGCTCAATGCCAGGAAAGCGAAAATAGCTACAGTGAAATTGCTTGGAAAATCATTTGGATAGCTATACAGAGGTAAAACATCCCAAAATTCAGAAGAGAATAACAGATACTTCTTCATCTGAATAGAAATCATCCAGCAAAATCAACCAGCAAAACTCCATCTTATACAACCATTCAGAAAATATCAGTGCTATCCTTTTTGACACCATTTCAGCTACATTTTGTGTAACGGCGTTAAAAGCAGCACAGCCCTTGTTTACATAGAATCTCGTGTTCAATCTGCACTCTCTTAAACTCTCCGTGGTATAGAAAAACAGCTGTTTACAAGCATCCTCAGTTATAGAGTAATCAGGAGTTAAACACAAAAACAGAAAGTAATCAAACCCCTTAAAGTGATTCTCCTTAATAAGAGAGATAATCTCCTCCACTTTGGATTCTCCTCAGCTCAGTGGGATCCTCGCTGTAATTGCTCTTGTTAATCAGGCCTTAATTTGTTGACGAGATTCATTTGGATGGCTTGCCCTGAAAACAGACAATCTTTCTCAATCTGAGGATGCCAACATCTTGAAATTAAAGACGGTGAAGTAGAATGAGACCAGATTAAGTGACTGATGTAACCAATAATCAGCATCATTGACTTCACGTTGAACCAGGAACGCAATAGAACGATCTCATAACACCATCTGATAGTGTATTTGTTAAGAGACTCTGCACTGCAACATAATTTACTTTGAAGTAAAACTGGAAGTGATCTCTGGTAATGGGTTTTTGTTGGTTAATTTTAAATTTTACAATAAACAATGTCTATGACAGGTTGTATAGAAATGTGCTATACATTTGTTAGCCTCTACTCAAAAGAAATCAGGTCATAAAAAGTACTCCAGGGGCTTTTAAACAAAGTATCGTGCCTGGTCTGGAGTGAATGGGGCTAGCACATTAAGATCGTGTCCATCAGCACAATGCATTATCTGGATACAGACTAAGGAGCAAGGTGCAAAGGTAATGTATCTATTCTCAATGATCATCAGTCTGTCCTTGCCCATTGCTGTTCATATGAAGAGTTATGGCTATTGTTATATACTTCTATACTTTGACCTCTCTCCTTTATTTGTTCATATTATACAGACAGAAAACATAAAGCAACTGTATGAAATGTATGAACATATTAGAGTTGTCACACTTAGAGCCTGACCGATTAATAAGCCAGCCAATAATAACGGACGATATTAGCATATCAAGTGACTATCGGCTACTTTTGATCGCAGATATGCGCCGATAATACTAAATTTATTCACCAGTCAAAAAGCATTTCATTTGAGTCTTGTTGTATTTCACTAGCAGATCTCTGTCTTCTGGAAGTTCCAGAAATAGCTTTGACATGATTCTAGTTCAAATTTAACTAAAACTGTTTGGATGCCACAGCAACAAAAGTAGAATTCCTACGCACACAACATTGGGTAATTTCTTATTTTCAATTATCAAAAATTTCAGACAGACTCCTACACTTTGTCTAAAATTGCACAAAAACGTCAACTGTTTTGGTACCAAAAATTGCATGGCAAAAATGTAAGTATTGAAAAAGTAACAATCTTAACAACAATGCTTTCCTAGCTCAACAAAAAAGGTGTGTTTCTACCTAATAAGAAAGACGCTTTGTACATTTACAGCGGCATGCAAACAGGGGAACTAGCTCTGAGGTTATATATTAATAAAGTATATGTTTCATTTACAGATAAAAGTCATCAGATGATCGATAAAGTCAGCAGCACCAGCCCTAAGAACTGAGTCAAGTCATTTACCTCCTCCCTCCAATACTAATGCCAGACACCAGAAGGTACATGTTTGAAGTGTTAACGTAAGAGCCTGAAGGTAAAGGGAGACCTGTTGAATTGTAGATCAGTCAGACTGGATATGTGCAAAAACTGAATTTTTCAATGAACCGAGCTTCCCCCAACACACACTGATGGCACAATCACAAACCATCCAAAGGAAAACGCTCATACAAATACAACCAATTTAATCAGTCACAACAGATTACATCACACTTCTTCTTTGTCTCATATTACTCACAGACAGCTGCATATACACTCACTCTTAAAGACAAAAAAACTAATCTTACAGCAGTGCTGAGTTTGTCCAAACTTTAAAATATTTATCTGGAGATCTGAACATTCAAAATCAACTCATGCCTTCTTTCCATAATTTCAGAGATGCTCCAGAAGATTGTGCAGTGATAAAAGATTACACATGTCCCTTCATAGCATATATGTTCAAGCACTAGATAATGCTACAAAAAAAATACACAACTGAGCTTTTTTTCAACCTCATTATATAATTATGCAGCTCGCTCCTATTGTACACGCACATGCCCTCATCAAATCAACATTTAAAAACAGACATGTTGCACAGAACGATACTCACAGTTGCTCTTTAGATCACTGAAGCACAGAAAGCTGCTAGCTTCACTGAATGGCAATCTTTTGGAAGACTACTCTCACCCTTAGAAAGCCTTATGCAGCTGAAATGACTCACATCCCCTCTTCCAACCTCTGTCAACCATCATGAGGAGGTAAACATTCCCAAATATGGAGAAAATATGAAGCCAGTATTGAGGGGCAATATCAGTTTGGTTTGCTTTTAACTTGGAATGCCAAACTCTGAGAGTGGGAGTCGCTCCACACAGCCAGCTCTGTGGTGCATACCTTTCACTGGGAATAATAATAATGATGACTGTAGAGAACTTTTCACAACTGCTTTGGGTTCAGTCTGACCTAAGATGGGTAACACTGCAGGCCTGCACTGCAAGCTCCGTTTTTACAGCCACTTTGTAGAGAAGCGAAGCAGAGGTCGCTTAAAACTGCTCAAAGGAAGCTGGAAAATTGGAAAAATGTCTATAAATATAAACTATTTACCTTTTACTTCATCTTTTTCTGTCATTGCCCGATTAGAAATTATAGACAGCCGGTTTATCGTGAGAAGCTGTCTTTTTACCCAGATTGTCTTCCAATGATTAAGAAGGTATAATTAAAGTCTGATTACTCCCCACAAGTGCCGAAGGTCAGAGGAGATCAGGGTAACATTAAGAAACGCTTAGAAAGAACATTACACCACCCTGCCTGGATGGGAATTATGCTGAAGAGCAATTTGGCTTGAGAGCCCTTGTTTCCTTAAACAGCACTTCATCAAAAATCCCAAAGGACAGAGCGCATTTAGAGGACTGAAATTCATGTTCACAGATATTCAGTGAACTTGAATACTTCTCTTTCCTTTCCTATTACTAAAGTTCAACATCTGGCAATAAGTCCTGACAGACATATAGGAATAAATATAACTTTTACGTGACTCTAATGCAATTCAAAGGTTACCTGTGGTAGAAACAGGAGTTGTTCCTGTGATTACCTCTCATTGATGATACATGATGACACTTCTAGTTCTAAGGCTTGAACACAAAGCTAAATGAATTTAAAAAAAAACATGTTTAAGAGCATCCTAAGGATCACAAAAGTAGCCTTGAGTTGCTAGCCTTAAACACAACTGAACAGTGGGCCACAGAGTGAGTACACATAGACTACACTTTTTATAGTAGTCAGACCCAACTGAGGATAACTTCAGAGAAATGAAATGAGGTAATTTCTCAGATATCCTGAACCCCCTGGAGCTGCAATAAGCCTTAAACTACTTGGTTTGCATTGCAGTAGAATAGTAGGACCAGGTTTTGATTGGCCTAACACAGAAGTGACATTACACCAGCTTTGAGAGAGCTACCTCAGAGATTACAGCGATGAAAAGACAAAACATGACTTTAAAGATTACCCACAAACACTTACATTCACCAACACTACCTCACACTGGAGAATAAAAGATCTTTCTTGGCTCAGTTGTTCAACACCATTATGATGGGCTAACTTGTGAGGCCTTTTGAGGGTGACGTGTTCATTCATTTTACTTCAAATAAATAATATGCTAATAATATGGGGCATCAGTCGCATAGTGGTTAATGCGCATGCCCCATGTACAGAGGCTATAGTCCTCCAAGCGGGCAGCCCAGGTTTGAATCCGCCCTGTGGCACCTTTCTTGCATGTCATTCCTCACTCTCTCTCTCCTGATTTCTGACTCTATCCACTCTCCTACCTCTACAATAAAGGCATAAAAAAGCCCCAAAAATAACCCTTAAAAGAAATGTAAAAACACAAAACAAAACCCACGTAAAGTTATAAAACCATACAAGCAAAAGTTCCTTTACCTTTCCTCCTGTCTGGATGTGTGGGTTTCCTGGTTTGTTGAAGCGTCAGCCTTCACTGGGTGTTGAAATCTGTTGATTGAGAAACATAGACATGTCTGTATTACTCACATTGATTTCATGGCTGTAGTTGAACTGTGAAGGATTACATGTCTCAGGATAAACTCAGAGTTGTTCAGTGAAAAGATGAACCTCGAACCTACTCTCTCTCTCTCTGTCAACCGATTTCTGACTCTGCTCACTGCCCTGTCTCTAAAATGAAGGCATTAAAGGTCCAAAAATACACTTTGAAAAAAAATAAACCACAAGCTTCAGGCGCTGCTGGACAGCCTATAGCAGCGATATCGCACACTTCATGTATAGAGGCTATAGTCCAGGACACAGGTGATCCGGGTTCGACTTCGACCCTAAACAATTTACTGTATTTCACTCCCCACTGTTTCTGACTCTATCCACTGTCCTCCTCTACAATAAAGTCAATAAAACCTGAAAAATACTCTTTAAAAAAAGAAGGAAAATAAAGACTATAAATAAATGTTTTTAATGTTTTTACATCATTGTGGTATTCAGTGTTTCATTTCATACTGATGACTGTAAAGATAAGTGGGGAAACATTTCACGTGTTCTTTTCTCTCTTTGTTGAAATGTGTGTGTGGGGTTTAAAATTTAATTACAAGCAATGTATGGGTTGGCTTGTTCATAAAGTGATGCTTTTTATTAAGCTTATGTGCTATGAAATGTACCATAAAAGGCTTAGTGTATCTGACAGACTGAGCATTGAAAAGCTGCGTCAATGCTTCATGTTGTGAATTACTTCAAAGAGTAACCGTTACTAGTTCACTAATAATCGTTTCATTTTTACAAGATGTTTCAGTCGTTAATCTACCTGATTGAGCGTGTGTCTAATTATCATGTTCAGAATGATCTCGTCTTGTGAGATACCTTTCACTCTGTAGTAATAAACAATCATGTTTGCATTGTAACTTGCATTAAGTAAACAGTTTAGAGTAGATGAGGCTCTCTCCAGATGGTGAAAACAACAGCATACTCTGAGAGACAACTCTTATCTCTATTACATTCTGGGTTTTTTTTCACAGCACCAGTTTTGCAGACTTTGGATAAGATGTGCATATCCTTCCTCTCTCATTATTTAAAAACCCCAAATTCTTCTACGGAGCTTGAAGATAGTAGATGGTGAGGTTTTTTTTGGTTTTTTTCTGATGCAACAGCAAAAGCCCTTTTAAAGAAACACACGAAGCATACCGTCTGGTGCAACAAACATGCAAACAAATTGCATAAGACTACACAAGTTTTTTACTTCCATGTTTTCTTTAAGGAAGGGACAAGCTGCGTGAAGAGTTGATGCTGCAAGTAGCATGTATAGTGCAGAACTAAAGAAAGCACTGTGAGGCTTTACACTCCTCCTGATGGACAAATATTTCAGATGAGTCCTATAAGTGCGATGCAGGTTTGACAGTGTATTGTTCTCAAATGCATGTGAATGTAAGCGACAGAAAACAGGATTGTTGTGCATGTGAGTACAGAGCAGGCGGGCACTGACACGTCCATGCTATGCCCTGTGTGATGTGTCATGAGTCTGGTCATGCATGTTTGTGTGTCAGAATAAACACTTTGTTTGTTTTCCTCTAATATGATTATGTAACCTCCCTCTGGGTTCTATATATATATATATATATATATATATATATATATATAAAAACATATGTAAGATAGATGAAATCAGTTTAATGAGTTTTTTGGATCTGTCACTAGACCTCAGTTTTTGATTCCTTTCATGTGCACATGAAAGGTCAGTTCACTGCCATTGGAGAGATAAAGCATCAACATGACTCTGAGGAAGATGGAGATATACTGTACACACATTTCCTCCTTCACTAGAACAACTTGAGCCTTTGTTAGTGTGTGCCTTGAACGCGCAACCATATGATTCAAGTCACAGAGATGAAGAAATACCAGTTTGCAGAGATGTGACTGCATATAAAGAGAAAAATGTGCAAACATGTTGCTTTGTCTTTCTGAAGATGATTTGGTGTTCATTCGGTGTCTGTTTTAACATAATGTTGATAAATACAATCATGAGTCCGTATATTGTGTTTTATTTTGGAATTGACCGGATGCTCTGTGCTTTTCGTTGTCTGACTTCCTGTCCGGGCTGTCATATTCTTTCCAGCTTGACACATGCCTGCAGTGCACTCCGGCAAAAACAGACCTGCAGCGTAGGCTATATGAAACGTAATGCCATTGGTGGCACGCGCCAGAAACAAAAAATGGTATTCAGGACAGTCCTACGCTAGTCCTAAAAACAAGAAATAACCCAATAGTGGTTGCCTACCTATGACTTAAAATCTTTGTTACCTTGGTATCCAAACCATGATTGATTGGTACTATTGTATCAAAGTCTCAAATTCTGGTATTGTGACAATCCTAATGTAGAAAATTAATGGTAACGAGCAACTTATTTTGTATCAAAATATGAATAATTAGAAAGATGCAGAAATATTTTCCCATTACTGGAAATCTTTTTTTATGTTCTAGTTCCAGTACGACAGATTTATCCTGGAAAAACATAAATCAGTCATTTCAACAAAGCACTGTTGATTGGACAGAGGTTACAAACCAGTCTTATCTTGCAGCAGCTGGAATAATCTTTTTCATCCAAATAATTAGAGGAGTCTTTCAGGATTCTGGAAATACCTTCACAGGAGCTTTAAGTTTTGTCAGGCATTTCTTTTTTCAGATGAAATCGGATTGTAAGGTATGCACATCTTACAAATATATCAAAGGTACCAACATTATAGAGATGCAAACTACTGGTTGGGCTGAAGCTGCTTACAAAAGGTGACACTTTTTGAAAGCCAACTGTCGCGGCATGAGGCTCTACTCTTAAACCGTACACTTTAAATTTGGGAAATTGCTGCAGTCCCTTTCAGAGAGGGACATCCTCATTAAAATATGCCAAGAAACACAAACAGTAGAATAACATGACTACGGAGAACACCGGGGGGGCCTGAGCTCAAAGGCAGCAGAAGCACTCATCTTTTAACTTTAACATCATCAACGCTGTCAAATGAGTCCTTTTTAGGCAGAGATTTTAAAGACACTTCCGTTTAATGTTGTGAAAAATGTGTCGGAGTGACGCAGATGTATTCAGTTTGATGACAGCACTCTCAGGGGAGGAAGCTGTTATTGGTTTGACACCCAACACAAGTCAGAGTTTGAATTCTGTCTTTTAGAGGAAGTCAGGCTCATTTTTGCACGTTGGCAACATTTTATAGCAGGAAAACAAAATGTAAGGTACAGTTAAAGGTTTTGTTTTTCACTCACAAAAAATGATTGATTATTGACCTATTCTGTTCATGGGCAGCTGTGGCTCAGAGGTAGTGTGGGTCATTCTTCAATCAGAAGATCAGGAGTTTGATGCCCCTCTGATGATTGAATAGTCTTTTAAAGTGCTTTCACATTTGTCCAAAACTCAGGTTTTTCAGGTTGAGCTGCATGTGTGAATGCAAACAGCTACATTTTTCACTCAGACTTTGCCCTCACTTTTTCATGCCAGCCCTCTAGTAAGTTATCCGCGTAAAGTCTGGGTGAGCTGATTTGAGATCGCAGCAGGGAATACTCTGGAAAATGTATGTGAAATGGTCTGTATGCACATGACAGGTGCGATCGCCCTTCACATAATGAAAATGCTTCATTATAGTTTCTATTTGCCAGTATGTTCTTCTCCTTTCTTGGTTGATATTGTCATTTTGTCAAACTTTATTACTGCACTGATATAAAGGCAATGTTGCTTCATCTGCCACTTTTGTATCATTCTTTTTAAGTTATCCTTGCCTCCTGAGAGCCCTCCCACCCCCGCCGGCCGACAGGGAAAACTTCCTGCTGTGAAGGACAAGATTTTAAATCCTAAATGTCAAACATATTTGATATAAATCGGGTCATCCCCAACCATCTCTGAGCAAATCAGGGACCTTAATATTTGACCTTTATACCACTAACACTACAAGATAATCTGGGAAGATAATTGGTTACCAGTTGGGAACATCCCCGCGATTGTCCTGAGGGGGAATTGAACCTCAAATCGGCCGGATTATCCTGTAGTCTGAGCCAGGCTTTAACGAAGTGCCCTTTAAAATAACGCTCGTCAACAGAAAGGATGCAACTAAAGGACACCAGGTTTTCTTTCATGAAACATTCAAAGTGACTTTTTATTTCATGGAAGTGAGGTAACTTTATAAAAGAACATTCAACTAAATGGCAATGACATGACAGACGATATTTGAAGGATGTCACCACTGTCACAGATACAGTACTGTGTCTGTGCCAGTCAGTTTAAGGCATCAGGTTGAGGGAGTGTGATGCCCCCTGCAGAGACTTTAAATTACTATTTCACTTGGGTGGGGCCTGGTTGTGCATTTTTGTGTCACGAATCAAAGCAGTGATGGTTTCCTGCTCTATCTTTTAATCTAAACCTGGGGTAAAAGTACATGAGGCCTGTGCTGTAATGTTAGTCCACTTCTCTAAGAGCATGCCAACAACACTGCGTTAGCTCTGTTGGAGCGTTTTAAAAGTACTCACATTGTCATACAAACAGTTTAAACCCACATTTCTCTCTAGTTTAACATTTAAACATGTCTTTCATACAACTTAAACAACGTGGCGAATCTACACTGTCGTAAACCAGCCCAGACACACAGTTATTGAGCTAACCTTTGACGGCTATCCCAAAAGTCAAACACCCAGCGACCAGTTCTTCCTGTAACGGGACGCTTTAGTAAATGTAGGTTACTTTGTATGCTAAGGTAACATGCAGCGACATATTTCTGTGCAGATGGGGGCTCTCATGTTTCCCCGGTGACAGTGTGTCTTCCGCATTGCTCAGCAGCAGCAGACCACTCGGCTAAAAACAGAAACACCAGAGACGCCCAGAGTCCCTCTCGGCAAAACTTGTTCACAATGTATCGTATTTTCAAACGCATGACTGAGCCTGGCTCGGCGACAAGTTAGGTTAGTTAGTATCCTCATGTAGCATTAGTACCAGCCACGGCTATCGAGGGTAGTCCACGCCCTCATAGTGAACTACAGTAAAAGATCATATTATAGCCTAACAAGGCCGAACAAATTGAAGACGAGCTGCTCCAACACTGAGGAAATCCCTCATATTTTATAAGTTACAGCAGTTCAACACAGCCGACAGTCACAGAAAAGTTTAAAGCGAAAGAGGAGAGCTCGATAGTTTCGCTTACCTCGCTTTCTAGGAAATGTAACAGGAGGTCGAAAATCCCACCAAAAAAAGTGAAACTTCTTGATCCAAAATTCTGGGAGAGTTGTAGGCAGTGACGTCACGCTCTGAAATTCCAGCCGTCTCAGTCAGTTCAGAGGTTTGCCCATGTAAGGCAGCAGGCCAGCGGTGTCACCCAGCCAAAACACTTCACCCTGCCTCTGTTTATACACACATACATGCATGGGACCGGGGAGGAAATGAAGGAGAATATATAAGTTGTACTGCTTTATTATTTTTATTTTTTTACGGAAGAGCATTAGGGCCAAGCATGGGATAAGGAGATGATGAAGGTGTTCTTTTTCATTATGCACTATCAGAAAAACGTTGAATTGTCAAGAATAAAGTTTAGCTGAAATTTCACGAAATAGTATTTTAACTTCATTCTCAACATTTCGACTTTTTTCCTCAGAATTGTGTTTCGACTTTATTCCCGACGTTTCGACTTCACTCTGGACATTTCAACTTCCTTTATCTGTATTTTGACTTTTTTCTTATATTTCAACTTTATTACCGATATTTTTTTTCTCTCTTCATCCTGACAAAGTGCACAATGAAAAAAAAATCTTCCTCTTCTCATTATTTATTCCTCATGTCTGACCCTAATCCTCTTCTGTACCCTATATATGACCCAGGTATATAAAATCTGAATCATTATTTCATGAAGTGAAACATCAAGACATATTTCCTGTTTCTACAGGTTATATAAAGGAGCCACATTAACGTAATTAAATTCCATTTAACAATGTGCAATTATCAACCCTCAGTTAGACTTGTCTTCAACTGAAGAGCCATTCATTGGTTGGTGTAGGCTATAACAAAACAGAAACTCTAAACAATATAATGTCCTGTACAAATCATTTTAATGCTGTTTAAAGGAAGTTTTTCTTTGCTGCTGTTGCTTGCTTGATGTTGCCAACTTTGTCCTTTTTGTTTGGATCCTGTTTTTAGCATACAAATATCATAACTGTTAAATAAATTAATGCACACTTTGTATATGCTGTTATTTCACTCACCTGGTGTAAATAAAGAAGCCCGATTCACAGTTTATGTTGTTATATTGTTCATAACTGCTGAGTTGTCTTAGTATCTTAGTGTATGCAGAGGTTACTTTATCTGTTTTTATTTATGAATTGAATTACTGCAGAAAATTAGGGGAACTGATTATTTTAAGTCTATTACCAAAATAAATGATATAGCCTTTAAAACAAAGAGCATGGCTGTATTTGCTCCACTTGGGACAAGAATCAGTATCTATATCTGCATGTACTTGTATATCTTTGAGTTTGTACATTTATGATACTGAAACCTTGATTCAGTATGTGTTAATGGACACTTTTCTGACTGTCAGTTATTTCCTATGAGAGTCACTGTATGCTGTAATGACTAGTGTACTGGAAATGTAGAGGCACATGAGCTTCTAAACTGCATTACATACAAATTAAAACTATACATTTCAGTCAGAGAGGGAGACTTCAGACTGTTGTGCATTTAGCTCATTCTTACTTGTATTAAACACTTAAAAGGTCGTCTTCATAAGGATGGGTGACTTTTTTATCTTGCCGGAAACACGATACATGATAATTAAACAAATGGCTTTGAAAATGCAAGGTGTGTTTTGAAAAAAGGAAGCAGCTCAGCTAACATAAATCACTCAACCAATGACGTGTGAATTGCCACATGCTGTAATTTGAACAGATTCAAATACGTCCACAATGTGTTGTGATGTTGTGTTATCTGGTCATGGTCTGTGTCCTGGAACCGTGAGAAAGAGTGAATACTTGTTGGGGTTTCCACTTCAGAGTTACAGTGTGACTCATTTGTAAATTATAATCTGAGTTTTAGGCTGGTTTCCATAGTGAATACTTAAATATGACTTGCTATATTCAAAGATTTCACAACAGACAGAATAATAAAGGTTATTTTGGCTTTAGTATACTGGGCACACATATTCAGTTATACATAGGGGACTGTGTTGTTTTCATTTGATTTATTTTCCACCTGTTTGTGACATGCACTGTCTTTGTACCCATCAAACACATTAAGGTAAATGAGTCACAATAGAAATGTGGTCAGGTGTGACTCATTTATTTCTTCCTTTTAGTAATGGTAATTAACATTTGCTTTGAATGCATGCACTGCATATGAGAACCTGGACACATATGTTTTTGTCACAATGTCAACAATGTAAGGTTTTTCAACCTCCATGATTTTTGTTTTTAAATGTCGATGGATGCACAGTTTATTGAGTGAAATAATCTGACAGGAAGACCTTTCTTTTTTTTTACAGTATCACTTCTGTGTTTCCTGTCTGTCTTATAAGCAGAATAAATATGGTTTTTGGGGGTTAAACAAATCATGGGTGCTTTGAATTAGAGGATCAATATCCATAAATTAAATAAATATTCATACTGTAAGTATTTATTCGTTCTCCTAACACCAGTCTGCCTCCATCATTACAGAGAGTCAGTGTATTTACAAAGCACTGTGTAGCCTGCAGTACTTACTGCTGATGGACTTGATTTCACAGCAGACATATTGACCTTTCACAGCAGTACGATCAAAGTTGTTACTGATAACATTAACAGTAGTTCCATTCTGTTCACATGTTCCAGGGAGCCCTTACAGCTCAATGGATTTCAAGCATTCTTAATGGTAATATTTACACCTGATGTGTCAACATGTCCTCTGTGAAGATCTTTCATTTAGATATATAGATCTTTATTGTCATTGAATGTTATACAACAAGATTCTGTTGGAACAATCCAGCTGCAGCATATCAAATCTAAAGTAAATACACATACACCTGCACACGCACACAAACACAAGCCAGCACATCTCACCCATACCCTAACACATTCATGCTCATACAAACATACCCGTAAAAATGTGTTGAAGAATGTAATAAATACTCTGAATATAAAAATATAGGGAGCAATGAGGTTTAAAACACTTCAGTTATTGCACTGACTCTGGGGATGAGTTCTATCTGTGTGTGTGTGTGTGTGTGTGTGTGTGTGTGTGTGTGTGTGTGTGTGTGTGTGTGTGTGTGTGTGTGCAGCATGTCCACAGCTCTGGGGAAAAAGCTGTTCCGCAGCCTGTTTGTGTGTGTGTGTTGGGGGTTCCCAGTCTACCTGACGGTACCTGAAGTCTACCTTTCATTATTGTATCTGTTTCTGTCATCAATATACAGGGAATGAACCTAACAATATTGTACTGACAGGAAATGATAAATGTCCATCAAGGTGTCAGTAATACATTAAACATTACATGGAAAGCAATGATATGACAGTTTGATATCTTGCTTCCTTATATGATAAATGATGATTTAAAAAGTGTGTTTGATACAACAAGGTCTCACTAAAGTAGGTGATAGTACCACAAATCTGCATTAAGTAGTGGTAGAGCTTCATATGTAAGATTGCGTGAAGCAGAAACAATGTGAATGGAAATATCAGAGGAACCCTCATGGTGGACACACAAATCATTTTAAAAGTGAGATTAAGGATGTTTTTACTCCGTTAGTTGATTTTCTCTGGTTTGGATCATGGACCACTTGTTATAATATAAGGTAAGGTAAGATAACATCATGTGATATTACGTATTGTCGCAGAGTGACATAGACTAGCATAGCGTATTGTAGTCTTTCCTAGCATAGCCTAATGTAGCGTAACTAGCGTAACATAACGTAACTTAACATAACTTATTGTAATTTATGGTGACATGACTTGACATGACTTGACATTACATGACGCTACATGCCGCTATGTGCAGGACTTGACTTTATGTGACGTGACAAAACATAGTTTCTTACTGACATAAGCACTTATTTTATCCAAACCACTATCTTTTTTCAAACCTAACCATGAAGTTTTGATGGGAAAGGCATAATAGATCTCCCATAAGCACCTTGTATTGGAATTGTTCCAGTCATGCTGGAAAGTTATTTTAACACATTATATGCCGCAACAACTTAATGCAATTTCAAGTGGGCATGTGGCCATGGTAATATGACTTGCACCAGCTAGCTGCCTGCCGTGTGTCAGCAGTCTGCTTAGGGATTCGGTAGCATACAGTGGATTAATCAGTTTCTTTGCTGAAAACATATTTTGGATGTGACATAAAGATGAATAAAGAGAGCGTTGAGACTGAATTAAAAACAAGAAAGTTGCAGCCATGACACCAAAACAAAGAGCTGAAAGTTAAGAAAAGACTCTGAGCGCGGTGGATTCAGTCTGCTCTGAGAGCTATTGTTAACACAAAAAAAGTAAGTGAAGAGTGAAGTTTTAATCAATTTTTTGGTTTGTTTCTACAAAATCGTCGAAGGTTGTACCACCAACATCTGAAAAATGATTGGAATTTTTTCATTGGAAAGTAGCTCCTTGATGCTGTATGACACTGCATTCCTTTTCCGTGCATCATTGTTTAAACTTACAAAAAGCAAACAAAAAGGAACTTTTTGAACAGTACTGAGAATTTCACTATTTTTTTATTTTTTTTCACTTGACTGGACTTTGTCAAAACCTAGACTAAGCATGTAGTTTGACATTGAGATGGATAAAACAGGAACAGAGCAGATGTATTCTGCTTCATAGATTATTACCATTTTCCATATTAATGCTTTACATAGAGCAAACAGTTTCACATTTCAGGTAATATTTTCACATTTCTCTTCTGATTTGCATGTCAAGATTTGTGCTGCGCTTAAGGCCCAGTGGCAGATATCTCACTTAATCAGTATTTTTTTCAATATAGGATTGTCACAATTTTTTCAAGAAGTTCTCCTGGTTAGTATTTAGCCGAACAACTAGAGTTCATAATGACTGATCTCCTGTGTCGACTCGTTATCCTCTGCTTCACTTGACTGTGGAGTTGTTCTGCCGCTTCTCGTATGTCAAAGCTCAAAAAGCGTCTGATGTTTGACACATGCAAACCACTATCAGATGCCCAACAAAGCTGTTGCCTCATGTAGGCTTTACCTGACCTCAGTGATCTTTGCTATGCAAACTAGACAATTACTCTGTTTGCGCACAATTGCATGCAAATACAGTAACTGCTTTTTCACCTCCAATTTGGTTCTTATTGTTTTATCACAGTTCATAACACTGGTACTGTTTGTCTGTGTATTTGCATATGCCAATACGTTCAGATATTGTTGCCTTTATCTCTTACAAATTCAAAAAATG